AGTATACTCATTATTAAATCCTCAAGAAATTCACCTCTGCTTCCCTGCCTCTGCTTTTGGGTCAACAAACCACAACACATCCTGACAGCTAGTCCACAGTGAGCAATTCAGATAGTTTCAATCAATAGGTTTTGAGCAATAATTGATGCATGTACAAAAGTAATTCAGTGTTTTAATTTAGTCCCTTGCTGAAAGAATTTTACCCCACATTTTTTCCTGGACATGGTCTGAATTTGATCAGAATATCAGTTAAAGAAAAACAAATCTGAAATTTACTCCTTTTCAGGAAATGCATCAAAATTAAGAACCCCAACAGTCTCCAGTTTTTAAAAAGGCCATTAGATGTGCTAATTCAAAGACATTAAATTGAAAAATTGTCATGTAGTAAATGCATGTTTCTGTTGTTTATCCATACTTGGGTTACCTGGAATAAGCCAGATTGATCCATGCAGTTCAGTTTGAATTCTACATGGTATTTTCAGGAGTTTTTGAATTCACAAAACTCAAGACAATTCATGTTGCTTACAACGTAAAGACTTGTGTGCTAAACAAACTGTAGGCAGGGGCGGATTTACCATTAGGCAAAACTAGGCAGTTGCCTAGGGCCCCGAGTTCCTGGGGAGCCCCCTAAAACTCCTTTTACATGTTTGGTTAATACAGCTATTACTTATTTGTGCACATTAATTATGTTTTTGATAAAAATCCTTTCGCTAAAATGCCATTAGAATGCTTATAATATTAAGTGTGTCTCGGGCCCCCCCCTACAATGTCCACTACATTGGTTCAGTCCATTTGCTGCGCATGGGCAGAAAGGTCCAAACGCACGGCAGCAAACTATTTGAAAACAAACGACGCAAAGACACGATACGAGCAGAGCGGGGGAGAAGAGAAAAGAAAGAAAACTCAGCGGCAAGGCTGGCACCTGTTGAGGAGGATCCATCGTGTGGAGTTTAACTAGTGAGTATTAAGCTGTCGAAGGGGACATTACCCCTATATTGATAAGTATTTATTTACCTTATTGAAGATGGGTCATTTTAAAGTAAGTTTCTAATTTCATTTGGATTTGCTACAAACGATGAAAAATCAATTATTTAGGTGTTTTTTTATGTTGAATTTCAGGAAAATCTCAGGCTTTTAAATGTTGTAAAATAACCCATAAGTTTTAGATGTTTTAGTCCTTAATAATTTAAGTTATACATTCAAAAATCATAAGGAAGTTATTACCAATATCTCACTCTGCTTTATAGCTTTGTATTAACATTGCTTTAATGTGTGTAGTTTAAGCAATTGTCATATTTGTAACAACACTAGTCTTTCCTGTGACATGCACCTTTTATTTACTTATATATATACACACATATACACACACACACACACATATATATATATATATATATATATATATATATATATATATATATATATATATATATATATATATATATATATATATGAGAGAGAGATTCTTTCCTCCGAGTTACAGTGACATAGACAAACTTGAAGATACATGACATCCTCTTCAAGGTTTCTGTATCTGTATACTGGGTCTGTTCTATATGTTGTCTTCTCAATTCAGAGGGCCCCATGCCTGTCTTTGCCTAGGGCCCCAAATTTCCTAAATCCGCCCCTGACTGTAGGGTTGTGTTGCAAAGGACATAGTTTACATACAAGCAAAAATTAGGATTAAAAAACTGAAAATTTTATGAATCTTGGTTCCAAATTTAGATTTTTTCATTTCCACTTCCAGACACCAGTCTGGAAGTCCTTTCTTTCCCTGGATAGTGTTCTCTCTGTTGACCCCGCGAAAGGTGAAGGGAGAGCAGGAGCTACATTTGAAGAACTCAGCTCGAGCCTGAGTGTTTTAGTTGTGTATCTAAAACATCTACAGATTTATCTCAAATCAACTCTTGGTGTTCTTAAATCTTTAAAGGCAAAGAGTATTTAAAATTTTGAATGTAAAGAAAGAATAAAAAAAAAAACGTATAAAAAAATCCATCTTTCATTATTCTGGCTTTTAGCAAATACAAATAATCTGCTTGCTTTTTTTTATTTTATTTTTTTAGACTGTTTCTATTTCATAACAGCCTGCACTGTGGCACAGGTTGTAGCACTGATGCCTTGCAGCAGGAAGATCCCGGGTTTCATTTCCAGTCTTTCTGAATGCAGTTTGCTCCATGTTCCTCCTGTGCATGTGTTGGTTCTCTTTGAGTACTTTGGCTTCCCTCAATAGTCCAACAAAACATAAACTGTTATATTAACTGGCATCTCTAAGAGTCAAATAACACAACTAGTGTGTGTGTATGGTAGTATGTCGATGTGCTGCCCTGTGATAGACTGTTGAATAACACTGTGGTCCAAGGCCTTTCACCCATAGACTGGCACCAGCCACCTGTGACAGATAAGTTGCAGAAGGTGGATGGATGGTTATTCATAACTGACTGAGAGGAGAAAAAATATTTATGTGTCTTTTAAGTGTATTTAAACTTCTGGTTTTAACTGTAGATTATATTAGCTTAAAAATATTTCCAGATATGATATATCTTATCATCACCTCATCACAGGTGGGGACGACTCAGAGTAGAGACAGTGGATCCAGAACTTCGTGGTCTGGTGTCAACAGAACCACTTCCTGATTAATGTAGGGAAAACCAAGGAGCTAGTGGTGGACTTCCACAGAATAAGATCCACTCCACTGTTGAAGTAGTGGCTTACCTGTAGCTCAGAGAAAGTGGCAGGATAGGCTGGTGAGGAAGGCCAGCTCTGTGATTGGATGCCCTCTGGACTCAGGAGGTGGAAAACAAAAGGAAATTATCATCTCTGTTGGATAATGTTTCCCACCCCATGCATGAAGCTGTTGCAGAACTGCAGAGCTCCTTCAGTGACAGACTGCTGCACCCTAAATGCAACAGGGAGCGTTATCACAGATCCTTCCTCCCAGCAGCTGGAAGACTCTAGAACCACCACTGTTCCCAACAACCTCAATAAGTTGTTACATTCATGCTGATTTTGCTTAGTTCTACCTTATAAAACATGCTGCTGTCATTTTTCACATCTCTGATGTTGCTGCTATTTTCAAATATCCATTACTGTAAAAATGTCCATTGCTGTATATTGGTTATTTATTCTCCAGATGCACAGTTTTATATTGTTAAAACACTTTACAGCCCAGTATCATATTGTTTATCTTTTAACTCTTCACTGTTATGTTATTCTTATATCTTTTTCTAAGTTTCATATTTGTGTGACCATTTTTTCTATAATCTTTTTGCTGCTGTAAACACCAGAATTTTGGCATTGTGGGGCAATAAAGGGATTTTCTATTTTATTCTATTCTAGTTTATTCTATTCTATTTTATTCTATTCTATTCTATCAAAGCAATCTGAAGAGCTGTCAAATGGAACAATTACCATAAAAGTAATCCCCTGTGATAATGACTTGAGTGAACAAGGACAAGATCAAGAAGGTAGTCTAGGAGGACATTACAGATGGTCAGGGCAACTGAAGAAGGGAGATTTACGCTCCTTCAATTAGACACAAGAGGTCTAGATCACATTTTAAAGCCTGTGATTTGAAAGTAAGTTTGGATGAGTGCATGCACCAATCAATGATCAGATCCGATACTCATACATGTTTAAATACTGAAGGATGAGGAAAAGACAAGGTCAGAAAACATTCCAGATAAAAATCCACAAGAAACAGAATCTTTCACTCGGACCAGACTAGTTGGAACCGTTGAGACAGAGAAGAGACAGTATGGCAGGAAATGGGAAAAATAGGTGAGTTTTTATTGACAACTGAACAGGTGGAGACAGTCGGGCAAAGGGGAATGAGAAAGTGCTGTGTTCAAGGCTGGCTGGAAAAAACTGAGAGGCAGGTTCAAACTCTGCCAAACTGGAACAAGTGCAAACCTTGTATCAGCATTCCTGCTAAAGCGTTTGTAGAACAACAGAAAAAACAACAACAAACTACGTAAGTATCATACAAATAGGGACCTAAAAGCAGTTTTCAGAATTAAAAAGTAGGCTTAAAGCAATTACAATGGAACTGAGGTTCCACTTCATTTAACAAATATTAAATTAATATATTGTTTCATTAAAAACAACCTCAAGAAATACAATGAATGACTGAAACTATTTGGTTTATTTGTTTTGCATGAGCATATCTTCTCTCTACCTTTTATTTCTTTGATAAGAAGAGGCTGACCTCAGATACTTCCAAAAGACTATTTCAAAAGAGGAAAAGAATAATCGTCCATGGTTTTATGATATGCACGCCCACCACATAACTATGTATTAAATGCTTTATATGTTATATCATAAAAACCCTGCTATACAGTACATTTGCAGGACCATCTAGCAAAAGGGTCGCCATTTAGTTGAAGTTAAAAATATACCATTTGACCCAAAATAACAAAACAAAAAAATGTCAACAGTTTGGATATAGAGAAATTAGCATGGAATAAGAGTATTTAACAATGTTAGTCAAAATGACTTTTTGTTTTCTCTCACTGTGCTGACGAAATAACAGCATTCGACAAAAAAAAGAAAGAAAAAAAAGCATTTCTTGATGAAACAGACTACAGTTCATGCATTTTTGTCCAGATTATTCTAGCCTCAGCATTAATTTCCAACCCAAATAATGTGATGCAATTTCCACCTCTTTCATTTTTTTCTCCCTCAAAAAAGCTTAGCTCTTTTTTTCTAAAACCATGCTGCATCACTGCTGATCTTGGCTTTGTTTTACGCTTAAATGTCAAATATATGGATTTACTTTGAATTTTAGATCAACATTAAAACTAATTTGTTACAATTAGCGGTTTGTATGACATTAGACGGATTTAAGATGGGTTATGGTGGCTCTGTGTGTGTATTGGAACCTCCAGATAAGAGTCCCTGAAAAACTAGAATAAACCCAGTTTTGTTTATATGGATGACCGCTGGGTGGCGCTAAAACCTCACCAGCGCTCAGTAATAAATCAGGCTGAGCCGACATCCCTTTAACAGCTTAGATTCATTTCTTTAACTGCACCAAGCTGTTGCCAAAGCCGAATCATACGCATTTCGTTGGAGGAGGATTGTAAAAAAAGAAGTAATAAAAACTCAGCCTGCTTTAATCCAAAAACTATGAGTGACTGTTGGGCTGCAGCGGCTCTGTGGCGGATGGCAAGTTGTGAGTCAGACCTGGAGGACGCGCAACTTTTATAGACTTTCAAGTCCGCTGCTTGTGAGTAACCAGCAGCGCAGTTTAGAGTCCTTTGACTCCTGGATTGCGCGTCTGGAGAGCTTTGGCATCAGAGCGCGGCGAGTTTCAGTTCGCTGCTGCCCAGGGCGTCTCTGATCGAGAAGGAGATGATAAATCCACTAAGAACATGTTTGTGGTGTTTGCGGGTTGCAATGGAGAATAAATGAACTGGACGTTAATCGGGATTAACTGAGAGCACAAAAGCAGGTAGGTCAGCAATGCAGTTTTTATTATTTCTGCTGTTTAGTTATTAAAGATTCTGCAGAATGATTATGAAATTCTGAAATTCAAATAAGTAGAATAACCATGCAGATAACAGTATCCAAAGGCTTTCTGATATTATGACTGATGATCCAAAACTGCAGCTGGATGAGAGGTGAAGGAAGCTGCGGTTTGGCAAAAATTGAAGTTGATGCATAAAAAAAAAACAAATAAAAAACATTAGAACTGCACAAGAGTCAAATATATCTGACCTGTTACATTTAAATATTGATAGGTCAGACTTGGTCTCTCTCTTTATGCTGGTTCAGAAAACAATGATTATTATTAATATTATTTTTTGTGGCTAATTGCAGCACAGGGATTTTGGTAAAATGAAAAGGTGCCAGGCAAAGACACACTGTTCAGTAAATCTAGATATGCGGCTGCTCCAGTCTGAAGAGTGTAAGTAGATTAATAATAAGTTATGGGAACCTGAGTCCAAACAGTTGATGTAAAGTTTAATGCATGGATACATTCCTTCCTTTTAGGACGGTGATAATGCAGCTTCATCTGAGCCAGCCATGTATGATACCTTTCCTATCTAGATGTTAAAAATGAAAACATTATCAAATAAATGTGACATTGGTAGGAACAAATTAATGTGGATTTCACAGTTACATTTTGCAATGTGTATGGCCATGGCTTTAAAATAGGAAAAAAGAAAACTTGATTTGAATGCAAAAGTATGAGATAAATGAAAAAGATGTATAAAGCACAACATGGAATATTAAAGTAAAAGTTATGGGTGCACTAATCAATCAGAGAATCTGACTATTTATATTGACTGAAATAGGTAATCAATGGATCAAATACTGAAAAAAATGATTTTTTCCAATTTATTAAAGGAGTCTATTTCATATCAATGTGAAATATATATGATTCACTGCTTTGAGAGAAAATTAATTTAAATAAAGATTAGAAACAAATGCTTTAATGCACAAATAAAGAAGCATAACAACTTCCTGTATTAGCAAATATTCTTCCTATTGGTAATTATTATTTTTATTTAAAAGAGCCAAGAAAAAAAAAAAATCATAATCGACAGTTTAGAGCACCCGGAAAAATGAATTCACTCCCCATCAGAATAACCACCTGACAGGTGCATCTGCAATAAACGTTTATTCTACACATCTCTATTTTTTAAACTGACCGATTCTTCTCTCAGTGTTAAAAATTTATTTATGCAATTATTTTCTGTTTATTTCACCCTTGCATTTGCTCATTTTTATGGCCATCAAACAGTAGATTTTACACCACTTTTACAAATGAATACACTACCATATGATGATCCTACTTATAGTTAAACAGAATCATTGGTTTAGCCTTTGTACGTTTGGCTTGATCTTTTCTGCAGTCCCACATCATAAAGTCACATGCGCTAAATAATCTGTTTACATCTTTTTTTTCTTTACCTGTGGAAAGGTTAACTCAACATGGCTCCCCACTGTAAAGCTCTACAGGCAGATCAAATGCTGATCTGAATCCACAGCAGGGGCCACAGTGAAATCCACCATGAGAGGAAAACAGCTTCACCTACGCGCTCTTGCTTTGTACTTTCAGCAAAAGCACAATGCTTCACTCTCGTAATCCATTTTGAATGCACAAGTAGTTTTTGATGAAAATTGGCTTTGTGTTTGTCGTCAGCCGCTTCGCACACAGAATGCAGATTTTTGTCATTGTTACACGTTACTGAAACTAAACTACACCTCTCCTGGCATCCTCTCTTTCTTTCTCACTTAGTCTGTTCTGTGTTCACCTCTTTCATCCAGCTGCTCTTCATCTCCTTGGCTTGTGTTGTCAGCTGTTTTTTTTTCTTTCCCTCAATTAGTGCTATCATCGCATTTCATCCCCGCAGAATCACGGACGGAAATAACCTTATACTCCTATTGCAGGCTGATACAATTCTACTGTGATTAATTGAAGTCCCCTCAGAGAGTCAGAGGAAGCGTAGATCTTCTCTTTCACACTCGCTGACAGGCAACCCATTATATTGTTTTATAGATCGCCGTCAGTAGCCCTTGAAGCTGCCTGTGGCCCACTGTTGTTCTGGAGGGTTTTATTGTGTAGGGTTATTGGTTGCTATTGCTGACAGGCAGAGTAAAGGCCACCTTGGGATTACTGGAGATGGGATCTCTGTGACAGCACCACTGTATTTGACAGTAACACTGGATACTTGGAAAAAGCCTGCTCTGCAGACTATTGTGGAGAAAATTGTTTTCTAACCCGCAGAAACAAGGATAGCCACCTTGACACTACGATAGCCCCGTTTGTCATACATGTTCTCAAATTGCCAATGAGAAAAAAAAACAAAAAGAAAAAACATGGTTGCCTTTATGCAATTTGCATGCGTCAACACCCACTGCAGCTTTTGCAGAAGAATCGATATGAAGAGGTGAGACAGATCGGCTTGAAAATTCCACTTGTCTTAAAAGCTAGCAGAACGCAGGCGTTGCAACAACACAGTGAGGAATTGGGAGGCTTGGAAAGAGTCCTTGATATGCATGAGCCACCATGTGACTTCCAGAAGAAGAGAGCGGAACAGAACGTCATGATAAGAGACTTGTTTCTAGTTTTAAGGATCCCCCCCAGGCAGAATTCATGTTCTCCACCATCTTTGTGTTCACGCTCTCAGATCAATGGGGCTTAATGAAAAAAAAATGTGATGTGTTTTCAGGCTTAAAACACACCTTTCAGCACCTTAGTTTTCATTTTTGATAAAAGTCTGCAGAGGTACTCTGTAATTTTGTGAGCAAAAAATACTCATTAAATACTTCTAAATATCTCCTTCTGGAATAGACATTTCAAATTTCAGAGGGTATTAAACTCCAAGGCATGTCTATTTATGCAGAGGGAATCCACATATGACTGTTCAGTGCACTATTAAGAAGAAAGCTACACATTCATGCCTCAATTTAACCATAAAATAATGACTCTTGCAACATAGAAGCTCTGTCTTACAATCAGCTTTGCAGGTTTGGTTTAACAACGATAGAAATTCTGACCATATAGGATTACACTCGATTTCAGCATCTTAAGATTTGCTGCTCGGTGATGTTCATAGGCTAATGTGTTTAGAGAGCTTCTTGCTCCACCTCTCAGCATGCTGGCTGGAACTGCTGAGGTGAATCTGTCTGGTGCTTAAGGGGAGATTCAGAGCACCACAGTAAGAAAAGAAATGCAGCACTGGGATGCTTGTGTGCTGCTCCGTTATGTCAAGAGGAGGAGGAGGACACAAAGAGAGCATCCCTCATGTTTTATAGATGTCATTTAAAGGAGCATCCTCAAAGAAAAAAAAAAGCTCTATATAAATGAAGTATAACCACAGCCTAAACTCCAAGACAATAAACTAACAAATTGTTTTTTGTGAGAGCCAGCAGTGTCCCAGTCACTCATCAGGGCTGATCTGTGCTGATGCGTTGCACATTTTTCTCCCTCTTAGAGATTAGGCTGGGTAGCACAACCACATCTCTTATTTATTTTGTCTATGCTATGTTCATGTTTGGTGGACATGAGGAAGAGAAGCAGCAGATGATGTTGTCTGTGTTTGTGTGTGTTTGTGTTAATGTTTGCTATGGTGTGTGTGTGTTAGAACCTGAGTGGTGGGTCTAATGATGCACATGAGTAGATGATGCTCATGGGTTGATGTTTTTTTTATTTTCTGCTGCAGTATTAAAACAGAGTATTCCTATTGGGATATGATGACGATGAGCTCCTTATGTTGCCGACATCAGTCTACATGAGTTTAACAAAGGCAGTCTGATCATTTTTTTTAATTTTTATTATTCTCTTGTAATAGTTGTTGATATACAGCTAGTGTTAGTGTTGTTTTGCTAGAATAGAGCGGACAGGGTTTTTTTTTTTTTTTTACTCAGCTCAGGTTTATGTAATTCAAGAAAAAAAACAACCTTAAATGAAACCAGATATGCAATATACAAAAAATCTAGATAAATATAAAAGCCTATCATATACCAGTCTATGCTGGGGACAGACTGGGTTGTGTTTGAAAAGTGAAAAAATAACTTTACCTTTAGATTTGGAATGTGAAAGTCTTGGAATAATTGAAAGTTAAACAGAAGTCAATGTTTTGAATTTTTTGTTTTTTATTATTACTTTCCTTAAAGCTACAGTGTGTAATAATTACAGGGATATACAGTCAGAAATGTAATATATTATACATAAATATGTTATTTATCATCATCTACGAGCTCAGCCTCTTAACCTTAATATTTGCATTGCCTTAGAATTCGTTATTTATAATTACATAGGAGCGGGTCTCGCAGCCATGGAGGCAGACATCTTTGTGCTACGGCAGCGCAGAGCCAACAAACTAGCGATTGCGAGATCGGCCATTACAATAACATGCTGCGTGATGATGCTGTTACTCTCCAGTATACTTATTCAGCAACGTCCCTGACGTTTCACAGGTAATGATTCAGTAATTTTCTGTAAAATAATTTTCTGGATATATACCTCGGTTACTTCTCTCCGGCTCCTTTGGAGATCTTCAAGCCTTTCCTCCTCTCCTCTAGTCACCCCGCTGGCACCTCTCCCTCGCCTGGCCCTGGCTGCACGCCAACCCCGGCCTCTCTGCCCTCTTCCTCGCCCTCTTCCTCTCCCTTTTCCTCGCCTTGTAACCCCCGTGCCACAAACAAGACTTGGACTCTGTAAACGGGGAATATATATTCTTCCAGCGAAAACAATCTCGCTGTTAAACTAATGATTACAATTACTTTGTCTGTTTATATCACCATGCAAAGCAGCTCAGCAAAACGTCACAACGATGTAGAGAAAATAACGGGTATATTTACTATCTTAAGTCTACATGGAATCTATACCCTACACAGACTAATGAAATACTACCTGTAAAATTATCTATGTAAACAAACCTCATCACTTGAGAAGGTAGGTGATGCGGACGTCGTGGAAGACATTTTGTCCCGTAACGC